CCAAATGAATGAGAAATGTATATATTATACAATATATGTGCATGCTGGCGATTTTCAACTTCACATTCTTGATTGTATTTTCATGATTTCAGGTGCATGTACGCAATCCCATCGATGTTTCCAAGCTGAGAATTTACGGACCAGGAGTCGACGGACCCGTGAAGAGTCAAGAGCCTACTCACTTTACCATAGATGCGAAACAGGCTGGCTCTGGGGCGGTTGAGGTACGTTTTCCAAGATTGCCTGCAAACTTAACCAGTGTTACCTTTTCTTCGTTATTTTATTTATAACAAACCAGGGGGAGCTATCAAATGCTCATGGAATCCAAATGGAGAATTGGGTATATTGGTAAGTTTTAGCATGCTGTTCACGGCTATAAAAGTTGATACAGCGGAACGAGTTTCGCAAAAAGAAATCTTGTGAGGTCTCAGAACCCGCTCAGATGGTACCAGTTGAAGTACGCAGCTGTTCGCATCACAGCAAAAACCTCCACAGCGCAGGAGCCGTGCTCTCACTTGTCAGGCTCTGTGTTTTCTTCCGTTGTCAGAATGTTTCTGGCATAGTTTTTTTTTTTTTTTTTTTTGAAGAAAGCTCTTACAACGTTTCTGATATTTATTCGAGCGAGCGCCTTGTTTGAAGGCATAGTTCACGATAATTTTTGGTCATCCAGATTATGACGAAAAATGAAAGAGAATGTGGACAGTAGTGCGATGAAGGGCAGAAAACACGCAAATCGCTTTTTCCAAAGTGAGAAAAGGCCTCGAAAAAGTCGTAAAAGAAGGGGATGGACGAAAATAAAACCGATAATGTGAAGTAGATGGTGTGCCTGGACGAGCTATACAATGTGAGTCATTTCGTAAGTGTGGGTCCTGGTGCGAATAGCTTACTAGACTAAGCAAGAAAGTTTTTCGAAATTCATCCACTCATAAGCATAAGTTAATAAAAACACTATTAACAGCAAATGCCCCGCTTTTTTCACATCTTAAGATAGATTAAGATAGAAAACTAGATAAAGGACCGCAGCAGCAAAAAGAATATCAGAGAATAAAAGAAAAAGAGTAAAACATCACCTCACCACCCGGCGATAAGCTGATTGCATGGTAGGCGTGTGAGTCCTCGTGCGAAGAGCGCAACCCGTATCGCCTCGAGGCTCGTCTGGGACATCGATCGATGGGCGTGGACATCGACGAATCTGGAATGGGTTTATATTATGCCCTATCTATTGCGTTTCTCGACTGCGTACTTTGTGCTACGCATTGGGGCCCCTAGGTAACTCTAGGAAGAAATGGTAGAAACCACTTTTATCGTGAACTGTGCTTTCAAGCTATATTCAAAGGTGCGGGTCACGATAAAGATGGTCTGTAAGGTTCTTCTCTCGAATGGGACGCTGTCGTGTCAAAAAACGGTCAAGGCAAGGCGTAGAAAGAGCCCCGAAAGCGGCTTAGCCGGAGTACATACCCGAGGCGGGCGAGTTGTCATGGCGTCGTAGCGGCTGTAGGGGTTGTAGCAGTTATGCAACTCATAACATCGGGACGCACACTTTGCTCGCATTTGTCTTTTGAAAAGATTAACATTGTTTCAGAATCATTAAGGAACTAGTTAGAGGCTACGGAAGGAGCGTTGGTCAAGTTTCTGTGGTGCACGGACGGAGTTGAAATTGAAAGCCCATAAGTCGATCTAGAAACATTCTAGAATCATAGTCTTTTCTATATATAAAGCAAGCGTCTTTGTTGAAATGTTGAAAACGTCTACGTGAATTTATCTGAGCTTTGCAAACGGGACGCAATGTTCACATGGATGGGCGGAGAAATGTGCTTAAATTCTAAATCTGGTTTTCAAATAGCTCGGGCATCAGGAAAAGAAGACCAAATATAAGGAATTCCATTAGAGCTTGTAAGCCAGATTCTGGAGAGCAAGCTCAGCCAGAACTTTGCCCGAAGCATTCTTCTTCGTGATACATGCGTTAGCGTGTGTAGTCCAACAGGTACTCAAAAAGACGTTCTCAGATTGTGCCAAGAACCATGGTATCGATCTTTTTTTGAAATAACGAATTTACTCAATTTCTGGTTTTGAAGCAGAGAGTAAGCGCTATTTCGTATAAGTTGGCTTTTTTTCAAGTCGAGTTGACGGTGTTCAAAGTGAATCCCATCAAAACAACTCTCACAATGTACTCCGTGTACATTCAACTTCCAATGAGAAGGATATTGGTCCCACAAACATCAACTTTCGATACAAATAGAAAAGCGATAGAAGCAGTTGGCCTATTCGAACTTCATACAGTCTGTTAGTTCAGTAGTTTTTGTTTTTTGAAGAACCAGTCGGGCCACCCGGCGTAGCCGGGCGCTCCTCCTTCCTGTGAGAAATTTGCTATGCTCAAATAGCACTTCGGATTCTTCTTTTTCTTTGAAAGCTCTACACCCTCAGTATTAGCTCCGAATCAGGAGCGATTTTTTCTGTAAGCCATCTTCGCGTCCGAATAGAACATCGCATAATATCACAAATGCGATTACTCAGAGAAAAAAGTATTCAGATATATCATCGCGGCTGAGTCTACTCCTTGCGTCCTCAAGTTTCAACGGTCTGGGTCCGACTTAATTATTCACGCCCACCCCTTTAGGGCGGAGTTTATTCTTGCAACCTTCCATCGTTCCTATCCTGCCTCCTGTATTCTTTCAAGTTTGGTCGCTCTAGGTCCACTTTGGCATTTCTCTGCAAGCCCCGCCCCCTGGAGGAGTTATGAATTTCTGGCCAAACTGTAGGCGGAGTCCGGTCCTATCACCCATCATTAGTGTTCCCATGCTGCCGCCTGTACTCCTACCAAATTTGGGACCAAATTTAAGTTTTTCACACAATGCTCGCCCATTAGGGACAGAGCCAATCCTCTCACCCATTATAAGCGTTCCCATCCTATATTGGGTATTCCTACCAAATTTGAACTTTCTAGGCCAACAGGGACAG